ATAATAATAATAATACTATTTTTTTAAATAATTTATCATATTTTACAGAGAATGGAAAATATTATACACGATTTACAAATGGATTACAGTGATATGCCTATCACAGGACTGTTTCTTGTCTATCCAAAATATTATATACACTTATTAGAGGTATTTGAACACACATTCAATATTTCTATATTATATATTCACAATACTATATAATATAAAAATATTAAAATAAATTATTATTATATTAATTAAACTGTAAAATTTGCAAATTTATTAATTTAAAATTACAATTTTTATTTATGCCATCTATTCAATTATTTGCTCATAAAGAGTGATAAATGGAAATAAGACAGAAATTTATTTTCTTAATAAGGCGTGGGAAGACATTATTTATAAACATTACAAGCTTATGTATACTACGGAGAACAATGAATACAAATTTGGGAAAGCGATTCCTTTGCCTTCGTATCATCACGTTCATCAAGTCGGTGACCCGATTTGCGACGTATATGTATTTATATAAAAATGATCGTGCGAAATATATATCGCGCTTTCAGAGATTTTTCGCGAGCTGGTGCCACTTTTATACGATACCGCCTACTTTAATAGGAATATCAGAAGGCCACGCATTGGACGATATTCAAAAGCAGGTTTCAAATTGCTTAATGAAGATGTACACGTTGTGCGAATATGTAGCGAATAAAAGTTTGGACAAAAAGGTTTGTAGAAATGTAAAAGAAACCTAAGGGATCTATAAAATATTCTCTTAGCTAGCACGAACGGGTCTTTAACGAAGCTTCAAAGAATTGTTTGGAGCGATTCCGAGTCTGATATTGAATAAAGCTAAGAATCTTTTTCATTTTATTTTGTGACATAACTTTATTCGATTTTACAGTCGATCAACGTTCAAAACGTGCTACAGAATTTGGAAGACAAGGCGGCCCGAAACTTGCCCGAAAGTACGGTCCTCGAGTTTCTCTTGAGCGTAAACTCGCCTGTTCTAAAAACTGTCGAGGAATATCTGCAAATGCATTCCGACATGTCGCCCAGCGCGTTTTGGGACGGTAAAAATAATATATGTCTATTTCAAATGAGCTTCGAATAGCAGTAAATCTAATATTAATGCATTAATATTAATGTTTGACATTAGTGACGATTTTATCGTCATTCATTTTTGGAAGGATCGCAGTTAGAAAGGGCACAATAATGCGCATCGCCGCGTGAATAAAAACGATTATTTATTTCAGAATATTTACAATATCAAAAAAACATTCTCTGGTGTAGGGGTACATGAGACTCGTGTGTGTCGGAGACAGTCCTAAACTAAGTACATATACAAACTTTAATGTGTTGTCTCGCACAAATGGCAGCTGGTCAGATCCGGTCTCGTTATTGTGACATACAGGCAGTTAATGCAACGCATTCTTATTCTAAAAAAAACAACGGTTTCTCCTTGTGTTTTATTTTTAATCGATATTTAAGTTACACACGCGGAAATGAGGCCGAGGGCGAGCGGCACGCGTCAGTCAAACTATCGTGTCTTCGTTAAAATTATCTTCGTGATTCATGTGCGATCGAGAGATATCTCGACACGTATGTGTATCTTTCAGTGCTGGGAGGGCTGACAAATATCATTTGATCATTTTACAGATAATAATGTATGGCCACCGCCGTGCGATATCATGCCACGCGACGTATTCGACGAACATGGTCGTCGAAAGATTTCGTATCACGAGTTGTGTACTTCGGGAAGTATTATGGAACTCAGGAAGTTTTGCGGAAAGTAAATGCGTACTGCTATAAATCATATTTTATGATTCAGAATTTTGCAATTGTAAATGCAATGATCTGTGTAAACAAATTTTATTAAACTTTAAAATACATTAACAAAAATTTAACGAGAATAGCGAGTAAAATTCAAAGATAATTTTGGATTTGCGTTACGTAAAGAGATAATATTTTAATATTAACTCTTATAATAATAATAATACTATTTTTTTAAATAATTTATCATATTTTACAGAGAATGGAAAATATTATACACGATTTACAAATGGATTACAGTGATATGCCTATCACAGGACTGTTTCTTGTCTATCCAAAATATTATATACACTTATTAGAGGTATTTGAACACACATTCACGACGAACATGGTCGTCGAAAGATTTCGTATCATCCGAACAGCGAAAAATAAACGTGCTCCAGAAGTCAACAATCACTAACAAAATGTGAGAAAAAAATGATAAATTATTTTTTTCTTTCGACGAACATGGTCGTCGAAAGATTTCGTATCATCCGAACAGCGAAAAATAAACGTGCTCCAGAAGTCAACAATCACTCACAAAATGTGAGAAAAAAATGATAAATTATTTTTTTCTTTGTGTGTGACATCTTTAAACATGTTATCTTCTGTTAGAAAAAATTGATATTATTTATAAAGTTTACATGATTTTATAATATAGTGCGCGTGTAGTGATTACACACACGCATGCACGCACAGACACACACGAATATAGAGTAGAAACTTTGGCAGTCTGAATCCAGGTTTTATTGTACGGTTTGTTTTCGTGACGTTTTCCTCTCATCGGATTGTAAACTTCTTTGGTTACAGCGGTTTTTTTTTACTGTATACACAATTACAATTATTATGTGTGCAAAAGTTATAACAAGGGGAGGAGGGGAACGAGGGAACGGGGGTGAATGTATAATGGGCTGCGCGTTTCAACGTTTACTAAAATTCTCTTCGATAATGTACACTCACAATATTCCGACATCAATTCCATTAATGGCAATAATAATAATAATAATAATAATCAACGATTTGTCTAATTTTTAATGATCTCTCGGAAATGACGTAATGTAACGCCTAAACGATCGAGAAAACAACGTTTGCTTAGAATTTCTCGAGACATTACGATTCGCTTAGAAGCGTGATTTTACTGGTCTCGTTTCTTATACATCAAGTAATTCTAAGTATTCCCGATCATCGTCCGTCGTTTCCTTTGGAAACGCATACTAACGCATATGCTTCGTTCATGTAGGACCGTCTCTTCTGCATAGTTATTTGTATGCATATATAACAGACTGAAACACGACGACGCGACTGCAAATAGTCACAACCTACATTCCGTTTATGGTCAATTTATGTGAAGTTTCTATCTGATAGACAAATAGGGAGCTGCTTCAACGAAACTTTTACTTCATTTATAACATCGCCGCATCGAAATAAAATTGAGATTCTATTTAATCATTCTAATTTTGCTACTACAGAGATGAAATGATTTAATAATTTTAATATAAAAAGGATATAATGTGATTTTTTTAATAAAAATACTTTTTTCCATTCTCGAAATGTACTTAAAAAATCATTTTATCTAAAAAATCTTTGCCCTATTTTTCTGGAATGCTGTCCGCTATAACGCCAGAAAAAAAAAATGCAATATAGCAATCATTCCGTCGATAGATCAATTTTACGATTACATTGTCGAATTCTAGAACGATATACATATATACTAGCGCATCGATCTTATTTAAATATAGTGAACATCAAAAGATTATTAGAAAGATATTTTCTTTCTTTCTCTCTCGCATTACGCACACAGCCACATATATAGAATAAAATACATTCTATTCCTCACGTGAATCCTTGCAGTCGCAGCAGGATCGTCGCATCAATCGAGGAAGCGTAAACCTGTACGCAATAATCAATCTGTACAGATCGAAGCAAAACGGGTTATCACTTCTCGTAAAAAGAAGAGATTCTTTTACGCACGCGCGTCTCGCGTAAAATATTATAGCTTATTAAACGCACCGTCCAGCAGTCGACTGCTCGATATCAAGCTACACGTTCAGTTCTCATTATTTTACCTTTCGCAAATTGGGGGCGAAACGCGCCTTGGGTCACTCCAATCGATGACGAGAGTATCTCAGTATTGTACGGAGGATATGACGAGGCCCCCTTCTTGGTGACCCTTTTTTTTCTTTTTAAAGCTATATAATACAAAGAGGCTAAGAGCGGTAACCTCTGCTGAACGAAGTACCAACAAGATTCACAAGCGTCGAAACAGGCAGTAAGTTAGAAGTGCTATCGCGATTACCACATGTTACGGAAGAACGCCTCCGTAATCCGGAACGCGTTCCTCTCTCTATAGAATAAGATTCAAGACTTTGAAAAACAACGTTCATCATACTCAGTACATTTACTTCGAAGGAAGTCGTTACTTTATACATTGTACAAGAGATACTTGATCTTACCGTATAATTCAGAATACTGCAAACTGAGACGGAAGCGCGATGGGGATATTGATCTATTCCTTTTTCCTCTTCCTTTCTTTTGTCCCGCTACTCCGCCACTGATTTTCGTACGTTTTGACTCGATTCTCATCGATAGAGATACAAACGATATGTCTCTGACACAACTCTTCTCGATTCTCTTTTTGTTTCCGCATTGTCAACGTTATAAATAATTATACCGCGCGCGCGAGACGATGACGCGATGGCATAATGATGCGCTGATCATCCCTCTCAGTGTACGTTATTCTAGTCCGACGCCTCCACGACTTAACGCATATACATATTTATACTTACATCGACTAGACAAATTGTACAGTGTTGTGTTCATAGTAAAAGTGGGAATAAACCGTTAATATACGCGACTCGTACAAAATATCTCCGCGTCTCGAGGTATATACAAGAGTGTGCACGGCAAGCTTTTCTCTCTCGCTTGCGCGTGCACACATCGTAAACTCACTCTAGCACACCGCAGAAGCTCATAGAGGTTCCACCGGGGCACGGTCACGAAGCTACGCACGAGGTGAGAAAAGCCGGCGGAGCAGCCGGTTCGTCGTTCTTCAGTATAAAAAGGGCACTTGATTCAACAGAGAGGCGCAAATTCGTGACGCTTTGTCGGAATGGAAACGTAAATCCGTCGAACTCGAACCGGCTCGTACGCCCGAAGCGTCCCGAACAGCACAAGCGTTTGAAAAATGTCCCAGTTTAAAAGACATTCCTTACGAATCTTCCAAAGATCTTTTTTTTTTCGGAGACTTAATTTTCGGATCTAGGTAATAATAAACATCTTAGATGTCTCAAACGTTCTTTAGAAGTCTAAGAATAACTATTCGGCCCTTCAAAAGACATTCCAATTTTAGCGCATAAAGACATTCTAATAATATTCTATAAACATCCTTTAGGTGTTCTTGTGTCGTTCGGGACTCACAGCTATCTCATGATTGACAAACGGCGCGATTCATAGCAGTTCGCTCACGCTGCAAGTGCAGGCCCCGTGGTGGGTGTAGGGTCACACGGAGCTCTCTCTCTTGGCCATTACTATCGGCGTACCTATCGTCGCGTCCTTCTGTGACTGAACCGTTAGACAGCATTGGCCGGGCATCCGCGTCTCACAATCCTTCGTTAGGAGCGCACTGCTGCTCGGGCAGGTCCTGGTGACGACACCCAGACCGGCGTATAACAACGGAGGACTCATTGTCATCGATTGTACGCTCTGGCTGGGCCAGTGTTGCCTCGGCAGGGTGCAAACGCCACTCTCATAGACGTCGCCCACCAGCGGCTGAAACTGAAATGCGCCCGTAATTTTCGTAGATCAATAGATCACGCAAAGTAACATAATTACTTGAGAGAGAGAGAGAGAGAGAGAGAGAGAGGGAATCAGGGAAGGAAAGAGAGAGAGAGAGAGAGATATCCCTCGCTCTCAGTTAAGAAATACTATCATCGTTACGTTCCACATCACGATACCATTGGTATTCTACTTAATTATTTAATTTAATTTCGAACCACATACACGAACACACACGCGATGCACATTGTTTGAATTGTTTCAATGGCAAACTAACGCATACTGATTGTTATTAATATAAGCTCTACTCTGTTATTTCGTTAAACATCTACGGGATATTTGCATAACGTTTACGTGTCATTGAATCTTGAATGGAACTCACGCTTTTGTGCTTCGTCGACAAGTTTGAGAACTCGTGCAGCGGCATGCCGTTGCGAATTGTACAGTAGCCGACGTAACTGCTGTGGCCGCTGATGGAAGTCACCGTCGAGTGTTCCAAAAGGCTCCTCGATGGTGATGTCTCAATCGTTGATACCAGACGTCTCTTTCTCAAATATTCCGACGGTTCGTCGCCTATAGAGAAAACGCACGAGTGTTTTATAATCAGAAATTTCGTCATAGAGTTTTACGAGTGCTACGAGTGTTACGAGTGTTTTACGCGTATGTGTATGTAAATGGAACGAGGAAAAACTTTAGAAAAAAATTTACAAGCGCGTAAAGGAGCGAAGTGCTCCCTCGGCAAGAGTTTCTTTCAATCATGAAGAGAATGTTTTTAAATACTTACGATTTGTATATAAATTATATTTACATACTTTTTTAAATGTATTATCGTAATCATTTTTTGTTTTATATATTCTCTTCTTGCGGAAGAATTACAAAGAGGATAAAAAAATTTAGATTTTTCAATATAATTTCGGCTTCGTTCCCTCAATTTTGCCAGAATTAATACAGAATTATAATTAGCAAATCGCAAAGATACAAACCAGTGATTTGCTGTGGAATGATATCCGGATTCTTTTCATCGCTCTCGCTAAGATCACCGCTAGTGTCGAGCTTTCTGAATGGGCTACTGGGATGCTTCTCATCTGCGAGCAGACTGCATCCCTCTCGGAATCGTAGCTCCCTTTGTATAGGGATGGCCTTCGTCTGCTTCGCGTGATCCTCCATCTGCGACTTGTTCTGTTCCTCCACGTGCGTGTGCTGGAAACGTAAGACGACCATCACTATGATCGCGACGATGATGAGGGCCGTCACCACGCCGATCATCACGCTCAACATCGGTGTCAGCCGGATGTTCTGTCTTGGTCGTTCTGCAATGTCAAAATAGTAAGATGTTACAAGAATCGATATTGCCGTGTAATTGCTTGTAGATACGCGATAAATTTACATAATAATTTTAAGCAGCTTTCAATCGTGCACTATGACATGAATAATCCGTTCTGATAAAAATGCTTTTAAAAGCACTTTAAGATCTCGACACGGCATCAAATTTTTAACGGATTTTATGTGATACGATAATATTAATAAAAGCATAGATGGTGCTACATAATAAAATATCATGTATGGCGCAACAAGCGCAGCTTTTACGAGAGAATAAAAGATATAATGGAAGGTGTTCGAAATTACAAGAGTCATGCTTGGTTCGGTTATGTATAATATTAAAATGCGATTCGAATAAATATAACGCATACAGTATATATTATATTTTAATAGAAATTTAAACCAGGAGATCTCTCAACAACCTTTGGTAGATGAATTAAAAATTACGATAACAGTCGCATCGAGCAAACAAGGGGAAAATTGTCCGACCGTATTAAATCGCCAATTTCTGACCCGATTTTACGCGCGATCATAAAAGCGCCAGGAGCTTTTTACGCGGCTCACTCGACGAATTAATATTGACTCGATGGCTTTTCATCAATCCGACCAATTGGCGGCGACTCTTCATCTGTACTGTATGATCGACGAAATTTTTCCGTAATTACTCAGACTTCATGTAAGCTTTTCGAGATTATGTACATCGTCGTAATATCCAGCATATATATATCGTATTATAGGAAGAAAAGCGTTACGACTGGCAAAAAGTTTTTATGAGACTTAAAAGAAGGCAGAAAAACTTTAAAAATTAAAATTATATACCTTCACATTTAGTTTATTGTTTTCGATAAGTTTTGCAATATAATATTATTGAAAATTTTGTCTATTAAACATAATTTTATAAGGCCAATTGAAATTTTACACCGTTCTTAAACTTAATTCTATTTTTTCGAGAAAATGATTTTCTTTTTAGCTATATAAATTTTCAATTTTTCAAAATGCGATCGCACGAACTCTCATGCTACGAATTTTATGTCGCAAGCAAGAAAGTTTGAGAACTACTCATGTAAGATACACCAGATAGAATGATGGCCCCCGAACCAGTAACTTCCTTGGAACTTTTAAGCAAGCCGAGTATCGAAGCTTCGTTCAAAAGATATCGAAGGCTTTGGAGTTGTTAACGTTACAGCGAATCTTGCAGGAATTTTTACACGAGCATTAAACGAGTATCAAGTCACTTGTGAATAATCAGCTGCATGTATCAGAATCGATACGTAGCTTTCGATATCGTCTGATATTCGATTTCTGGCGCGAGAATATCAGCGAGCGTTAGTCCTGTATTTAAGGGAAGGAAACAGGAATATTTGCGCACTCACCCGACTCAGATGTCAATTGTTTCTCCGGTAGCCTCAGAGTGCCGGCCTGCACCACCATCGCCTCGCTACGACCCTTGTCGTTGTAAGCATAAATGCAAGCCTGATAAAGGGCACCCGACTCCAGCTTCGTGATGCTGAAACGCGGCACCGACGACGTTTCATTGGCACGCAACTCCTGGCTGTTGCTCTCGCGTACCTCTATCAGGAAGGATTGTGGCAGGCCGCCGTTGAAGCCCTCCGTGCATCGCACGGAGAATGAATTGGTCGACGTGTTCGAGGTTGTGCAATTGTGGACCATGTCCGGCCGGCCTGTCACGGATAAGGTTTGCTCACGTTTTAAAATGCACCGCGTTTGCACGAAACTATTCGCGCGCTCGTAACAACTTGTAATGAGTACGAGGTAGCGATAATATCGCAGAGACAACCTTTAAGTTTCCCAAGTATGCCTTCGGTAACTAACATATATTTTTATACCAGAGATATTAGGGTATTGATAAGATGGCCAACGAGAAAATAGAACAAAAATAATAAGATAATAGAACAAAAATGATAAGATAATAGAACAAAAAATAATAAAAGTAATCATGTTGAATCCTACATCGGTAAAGATTAGAGATCGGACTATTTTTTTTTTTCATACAATTGTATCAAATTTTTTGGAAATAAATCTCTACTGGATTACAAATTCGTTTCAATGTTTTGACTATTATAACTGTTACAAAACACTTTAAAGCTTTAACGAATTAAAATATTCGTTTAATTTCAATCACGCTAGTAAAGTGAATTGTAGAAATAAATGAATTACGTGTTAGCAATATCGAGATACTTTCGATTTGCATGTCAACAATGAGAAAAGCCTCTTAAAATGATTAATATATATAAGCTCGCGCGTTTATATATATATGAGCTCACATTTTTTTTTTTTTACATTTCGCAAGATATATTGATTGCCTTTTATTAAATATCGTGTTAATGAAAAATAAATTTTTTTTTGTATATTGTGTAGAAAAATAAAATTTAAATATAGAATTCTTTGAAGTCTTGTTAATATTCTTAAAGTCGAAAAATTATACACAAATAAATATAAAAGTAAATTAATTCTCGAATTAACATTAATGGTTGTAAATTAATTATGCAATAACTCTCCTCAACATTTCTAAAGTTCGTTTATAACTACTTTTTACGCCGCTATTAAAGTGTGCTATATTTTAAACAAACTAATTATATAAGCAGTCTAATTATGTAAGTAGACTCTCTTCTCAGCGTCAGCATGTTCCAAAGTTTACTCTAACTTTCGATATTACGTTCTTTTCTTACCGAGATGATGTATAGTCTCTTATACAGACGACGGAAGACGAAGTGTTATGTAACATATCGTTTCGCGTGCGGTATATTCGCGAATCAGGGCGTGATAGTTGCCCTGTAAATCTGATTCACGGTACGCTGGCATATACAAGAGCCACTTGTAACCGAGTCGGCCGTAAAGATGCACGGTTGTATGTGTGGTTTTTTCTGCAAAGGTATTAGCCGGTGGTATACTTTGCGTCTCGTAAAAGCTGACTAAAAGGGCAGCAACGAGACGGTAACGGGAATACGGCATATTGTGTCGCGAGAGAGGAGAAATAAAGAAAAGGAAATAAGCGGGAATATGCCGAGGTTGTTCTCGCGTTTATGGTTGCTGAAAAATTACAGTGCCGGACACCTGCTACCCATTTCGCGGTTCCTTCACTTTCTTATCTTCCTCCTTCCCCTTCTTTCCCTCCTTTTTATCTGCTCCCGTCGAATCCGCAGCTTTTTGCTGCGGTGTGAAAGACAAAAGCTGTTTTCTTTTTTATGTTCCGAATATGTGCGTGTTTGTGTATGGACTTGTATACGCGTTTTCTTTGCATTAAAGCAATCCGATAGCGAATCGCGATTAATTGGTAACTCGAGCATCAATACCGGCAGAAATACGACCATTATTGGGAATAATGGGGATGCCGATGTTATGGATCTTCGTTAGACTTGCCTGGGTTTTCTAACTCGTGTTTTAAGTAAAATGTAGCAGCGTCAAGTTTTATCATGATAATGATTTTTGTTCAACAAATAAATAAATGAGAACATATATCCATATTATAATAATTACGTATTTTTTAAGTTTTACACATCTATATATATATTACAAAGGCTTTTGATATTTGAAGATAACTCGCGATTTCAATACTTCATTGTTAATTTATATCATTATTCCAATATTAATTTTGGAGCTAATAATGATTGCATGACTTTAAAATTTTAGGTAATTGTATAATTCTAATGGAATGGCACATTCTGTCTTTCCGATTATACATATATACTAAGATTTGAATTAGTTATTCAATTCCGTAAATTGAAACTTTAGAAACTAGGAGCGAAATCTGGATCCTAAATTAGCATAAAGTTGTAATTTTCGGAGAAATTAAATTTATCAAATGAAAATCATTAGCATTAAATTTATCATTAATTTTACCAATTTAAGAAAATTAAGCGGATTAAATATAGAAATCTATTTTTTGGATACAAATATAAATTTTTTTAATCTTCTAAATCCGAGAAAAAGTTTTAATCTTTTAAAGCAGAGAAAATTATAATTATTCATCCTTATTACTATTTTTTTTTTTTTTTTTAAATAAATTTCTGTTCTTTCTATATATCCACTCATTCTATTTTTTTCTTTGGTTCACAAAAATTCGTGAATAATTTGCACAACTTTATTACGTCGTAATCGAGTTGTGACGATTAATTTTCTTGATTAAAAATTCACGTTGCGTATTGAGGATCAATTTTGTAACGTCTGTTCACATTTTCGTCAATATCACAATGCGGATACAAATGAGAAAATACTTTACCAGCTGGTATAATGTGATAGACGCAGGGCACTTGTTGTTGGCCGATATGATTGCTGGCCCAGCAGAGCAGCGTGCCATAATCTAATTCTGTCATTGGTGTGTATGAGACGATGGAGGATGTACCGGCCCGTTCTATGTGACCTGCCGCAACGTCGATACTCTCGGCGGAGTTATTGAAGGTCCATTTGAATTGCACTTCCGGCGGATTTGCATCCACTTGACAGGATATATTCGCCTTCTCCTGTTTTGCCACACCGTGGACTTTGGTCTGATTCGGCTTGCATGTGGGAGCGACTGTAGACACGAAAGTCGAATGGTATCGACAAATAATTAGAACGCCGGATGCAAACGATATCTATATTCTATGCAGAGTTCGTTCTTTTATGTTGTTGCAAAATATATTAGGATTTGACGGACATTTAGTGATTTATTAAGTTTCTCGCACATGAAAGTCTGATAAGAAAATAATTTGATTATTATTTTCGTTTCAACCATTGACAGATTTTCTAGCAAATTTAGAGCCAATGTGCTAAAAATATTACGGAAAAAAGTTAAAAATTATTAAAATTTAATATCTTGTTGATTCAGAGTCACACATACACACATATACATATTGTATTTCTTGAAATATTCTCGTGAAAAGAAATATATTCTCTGCCGCTCTTTTAAACGCATAAAGCTTAATTTCCATAGATATTTTAATTTCGATGTTAAATAACTTTATAATAGAACGGCTAAATTAAAATCAAAATATAAAAATTCAACCCGGGAAAGATACGTCACATACAATATTATTACTTTCTATTATAAATAATAGACAATAAATAATTTTTTTAACATTAAATACAATTTCATAATAAATTAATAAAACTAAAAATTTTCAAAATTTGTCCACTCTCCTTATTATCTTTTTTATAGTTGATGTGGGTATATTTTATAGTTCTATGTGGGTATTATTACATTAATAACACGCTTGTAATTTTTAGTTACAATTTTTTATGTTAAATACGTGGGAGTAACTTTGCTATATTATGTTCCATAGTGAGTCGGTTCTCGCTCACGAATCAATTCAAATATTGATTAGTAAAACTGTTACGATTCGTGAAATATTTCGATATCGCATCCGATAATCTGCGCGCACAAACGGACGAACTGGTTACACACGCAATTCACGAGGGACATTCAGACGTATGTACGTAAATCCGGAATTAAAATTTCACAGTGGAGATTTACGGGAGTACCGAATTTTTACGCGTTATAATCCATTATTAATTAAAACCGGCTGAACGAAGCGTATCTGTTTTTCATTACGCTGTCCATATCGTTGTCACGTTACCATTTACGTTCTTAGCGTGATAAATAATCCGAAAAATCGTTTATTTATCAGCAAAGGGAATTCTAGTAATACTTTAACATTATTCGTACAATAATCCATGAAAATCCGATTATATGTTTCACTATACGTCAAAGAAATTGAAAAACCTCGGATGATATTCTTTTTTTTTTTTTTTGTTTATTAATTGTCAAAATTATTATTTTTTTTTTTTTTTTTTTTTTTTTGTTTATTAATTGTCAAAATTATTGTACATAATTAATTTTAGAAAAAAATATTAAATAATTCAACTAGAAAACTCTAGATATATACATATATAATTTCAAAATTACTTTAAATACTCCTCATATATATGTATATGTGTATGAGTAAAATTGTGTCATTGAAGCGTCTGACCTATTCAGTATCTTACTACTAGCGAATTCTGCGATACGTACACATCACGTTGAGATAAAAGGGCGAGCTCTCGCCGTCGCCCTCGGTATTATATCCCACGCACGTGTAATTGCCGGCGCTTTTGCGATCGACCCCCTGCAGCACCAGGCTCTGGTTGCTGATTATAATACCCTGCGTGATGTTGTGATGGAGTGCCTTGCTCTGGAAGAAACACGATAATTGACGGCCTCTCTCGCCGATAGATTAAACCGCCAGTCTCCGCCGACCCGGGATAGGAAAATTATTTTCTGCGTGTGTGCACGCATTCTGGCGCGTTTGTGTTTGTACGTAAACGAGGATCTAGCCATACAATCTCCCTCATCAGAAGCGAGGGAATACGGGAGTGCTCGCAGCTCGGGTGACGAGAAGTTATTATAAAAGTTTGATGCTTCGAGCGCCGAAGTTTGTATTCGGTCTTAACGTAAGTCGATGCTCTCACGAGTGAGTACGGGCATAATCGAGCTTGTTAGCCGGCGAGAGACCAATCTGTTTACGACACCCGGATTTTAGAACTTTCCGGGCGCGGGTTATGGACGAATTACTTGCGACAAACATTGTTGCGTATCTTCAAGATTGATTAATGATAATCGCAACGATTCGAGATGAGAAGATACACGCAAGATAATATTCTCGTAGCGCGACGTGCAAACATCTCGTTTTTCCGAAAATCTGTTCTCGAAGATATTTCACGATAAAAATATTTATTGATAAACCGATATAATTTTGATGAATTCCATTCTGAGAATACTGCAATAATTTGGATTGTTTATGTAAAATTTAATTAACCAAGTAAGACTTTGAATAAATTTTCATAATCGAAAATTTTTTCAAAGTTTAATAAATTTTCATAATCGAAAATTTTTTCAAAGTTTTTTTTATTTTATAGACGAGTATCCGGTATGTCTTGGTGTTCGAACTAAATTCGTTATAATGAAGAAAAAGAAATATATATATACTTGATAACTCTCTAAATTATTACAGAAATTAAATTATCTCAAAGTAAGATATACAACAAGCGCTATTTTTTGAATCATGAGCTGTATTAGACATCCTTAAAAAATAAATCATAAATACAGCTCATGATTCAAAAAATAGCGCTTGTTGTATATCTTACTTTGAGATAATTTAATTTCTGTAATAATTTAGAGAGTTATCAAGTATATATATATTTCTTTTTCTTCATTATAACGAATTTAGTTCGAACACCAAGACATACCGGATACTCGTCTATAAAATAACGGACCGAAGAAAGAAAACACATACATAAATATATATTGTTCTGATTAAAACTATATTCTCACTCACCTGATGCCGCCATTCCACCTTATAAACCGACGGTTCGGCCTGTATGAGGCAGTCGAAATATACATCCGTGCCCTCGCGTATATCGTTGGGCTTCAGTGATGTGCCGAGCTGGATCTGCGTCTCCGGCGTGTCTGCGAATCACGACTTTCGATAAACCGTCAAAATCGACCGGATTCGTCTGAATAAATAAGGAAAAAACATCGCGCGCGCGCGCGTGGTTTCCGGAGGGAAAGAAAGCAGGAACCGTCGCCGTTTATAAGCTTACATTGTATCTGGAGTATCCAGCCGTCCTCTATTGGCGCGGTTCCCATGATTCGATTTTCAGCTTGACACGACAAGTGTCTACCGGCGTCTGCTTTCGTCGCTATGAAAGATAAAACGCTGGTGGTCGTGTTCCCATCGGCGGAAGTCTGTAACAACATTATGATAACGTTCACCGGAGTTGATTCCGCCGCCCTGCCGGCGCCTTTCTCGCTGCATTTATTCTCTTTTTCTTCTCATCGAAGAGACCGCCTCTATCTACCTTCTGCGTTGTGTCGATGACGTTCAAGCCCCCATATATTAAAAGCATATCTATCACTCGATCTGGAGGGTCGGCACTAACTATAGCCGAAATTCTCGATCAATCTCTCGTTATCCTTCTCGAGGGATCGACCTATTTTCTGAAGAAGTAGCTTTTATCTTTTAGGGATCGGACCGTCATTACATCAGGTTTGACTGGTAACTGATTTATTCAATGTACGTGTCTCTCTCTCTCTCTCTCTCTCTCTGATTTATTTCCACGACTTGTGTAATTGTATTAAATGTGTGCAAAAAATAAATAAGAAATTCTGCGCTTTTCTATTTTTCTAGGTTGTCTATATTTATATTGTCGGTTATCTTTTTCTAATTTAATAGTGCATCTATCATCGTTAAGAAACTTTATTCTGTATATATATATATATGCGCGGAAACTCTTAAATCCATTAAAGTCATACAAATAGTATAATGCATATATGTGGGTAATATACTTTTTAAAGTAATTCATCCTTCAATTTTTTATTAATATCATTATAAAGAGTCATTTCTTTTTGTGCTAGAGCATCTCTAGCACAAATAAATTTCATTTTTTTTCAAACAATATTTCAAAGTTGTTTATTGTTTTGTATAGCATTATTAAAATAAAAATATAGCATATCTAAAATAAAAATTTTGTTCTAAAAGTTTGAATTAATAACTTAACAGATTTTTTAAATATTTTTTTTATATTTTATTTTGCTTCTTATATAAACTAAAAATGAGGAGAAAGTAATTATTGCATTTAGAAGCGGCAAAAAATTTATGTTATTCATAAATATGATGAAATTGACATTTAATTCGACGTTGTAAATTCGTTCTTCAGAGCTCTTTCAAATCGAAAACGTCTCTAAACGATCAGATGCGCATCTCCACGCAGAAAGTCGTGCGCCCGAGAGGAACTTCCGATTCGATTTACACCACCGGGACGCGCACTCAATGCAATTTGCAATTTGCAAGCTCGACCTCGGCTCGTACAGCTCCTTAAAGCGACTATAAAATAAAGTTCTCGGACGCGCACATTGTTCCGCGTAATTGTGCGTAAATTATCGTTATCGCGGTGTCACCGGCCCAACGTGCCACGAGACTTTAGTAAAAGCGTCGTTAGGCGACAAATACAGTAATTTAAATCAGAGAATGCCGCGGCGAATAAAGCTTAATTTCTATAGATTTTTTAATTTCGATGTTAAACAACTTTATAATAGAATGGCTAAATTAAAATCAAGGCATAAAAATTCAACCGGCGGAATATATGTCACACACAATATTATTTCTTTCTGCTATAAATAATCAGATGATAAATAATTTTTTATAACATTAAATACAATTTCATAATAAATTAATTAAATTTAAAAAAATTTCCAAAATTTGTCCATTCTTCTTTTATTGCCTTTTTTATAGCTAACTATGTGGATGTTATCCTGCGCGGTAAATTCACATTCGTCAATCAAGGCGAATCAATGCTATAATGAACGTCCATTAGGTTATATATCAAGTGGCCGATTAATCATCTCCTTTTGTTATTACGATTCGAAAATAATTTTCGTCCGTCCGTACAATTGAAAGGTTTGTACAACCGCGTGGATGAGTGCGTGCGGATAAGTAAAAACCGGCAAAGCTACCTTTTTCGTAAATCAGTTATTTGCCAGTTAGAGTTCGGTAAATAAACGCTTTCGCCGATTGATAACAGAGGCGAGTAAATAACACGAGTAAAAGACTACGAGCCTCATGTTTAGTATCGATTTTGATCACAGAATAAAACATAGAGCAAAGCGCACGAACTTGTTTTATTTTGAAACTCGATCAATACGACTGTTTGGTATATTCTCATGAATATTCCTTTTTTTCCACTGTTGTCCGAGCAAATAGTTTGCGAGTTTTCCAAGATTTTAGGAGGTCACAAACGCAAAATTTATATTTTTCGATATATTCTGCACTTCACTTTGTGAGCGGTTATTATTAGATAAAAGTATATAAAAAATCATATTTTGCGTGCGCATTCCGAATTTAATTTCAAAATAAATTCCAGTAAATTCAGTAATTCAGGTAATTTATTCATATCGTGGCACATGTATGAAGCTTTTTCAGCTTTGTCAAAAATCATGATTGTAGCAGAGAATTTGAGAGTTTTATATTTCTCGCTATCGTATTTTATGTTTTATCCAACATATCGTTACTTTTATGATAAAATCATTTGCAGCTTCGCTTCATTTAAAAATCCTGTAGCGCTTGTGAAAAATAAAGTTTATGGATTATGAATTAACTTAATTTTACGTGAATTCGTGAATTAAACATTCAAATTTCGCTTAGTCCAATAAACCGGATCTATGCATTATATTCTTCGTGTAAAACCGAAATTATGAGCGCAGTAGCCAGAGGAAACGCATCGCTCACATTATTCATCTCTTTAAACGAATAATAAAGCAATATTTCATAGAACCATCAAAATATCTCGGACGATTTTTTAACTTCCCCGTGATGTTTGCAAGAGAAAAGCGAATGCGTACGAAGAGCGCGTACCTTCAATCTTGCGCGGGATGCGCGGCGTGGCTTGACGTCCTGTCGCGCGATTAAAAAATAATCGTGGGACAGAGGCGCGTTTGTGCGCTCGCGAATAATAAATTTCGTGTCTTGTTGGGGGAATAAATCAACGGCAGGAGACCCGCATGCTCTAATTTCGTTCCAATGGCGACGGCGGGGAGCCGTTTCGCGCAAAGATAATTACGAAATGAGATGCGCTATCCATTAAAAATATATTTCCGGTTTGCGCATTCCGGGAGGGGTCGAATCGATTAACGTAATTGCTGCAATTTTCCGGACGATACGCGGCGGAGAAAAATACTGCGAAGTGGGAAGCTCGTTTACGCGAGAGGCATTATGTATGCTACTAGTAGCTACTTTTACGCGCGGTTGCGAAATCGCGCAAAACCGAGAAGGATGAAGCTCGAAAACTCTTGTCGAGATTACTGCGTGATTACGGGAAGAGAATGAGAGAAGAGGAACGAGCCTCTCGTTCCCGGCCGACGTTTCACCGTGGATTATAGCGGTCCTTTCCCAGCCGTATTTTCCTCCTTCCGGCCATCCTTTCCGCTTCTATGTTTAACTTTCTTACGTAAGCAACGAAACAATCTACAGTGCCGTGTCGTGTAGCGGCGGGTATCGACTTTGAAACAATATTTTCTCTGTCCCGCGCGCGAGCCCTTCGCCCTTCGTCATCGTCGTCGTCGTCATCGTCGTTGCCGTCGGCGCCCTTAATCCGCCGTTCTCCGGCAAATATTTACGTCGTCGTCTTAAATGCGGATCAAAACGCGGATACGACGTGTATGGCGTTGTTTGCGCGTTCGTGTGCACCACCCGGTGTGTTTTATCGGGGTGACAGTGTGGCGTGGGGAAAATCGAAGTAGAATAAACAGCGACCGATGCTCGATTTCGCCCGACAACGGGTCAATTTATTCGAAAGTACGTTCTTTCATTTCGTCGCTAATCCGTGTTTCTATTGACGTTTGTTTGCTTTGTATACGAAATACCTTCATCCGTTTCTCGCGACAGAAACGCCGCGTTCCGGTTAGAGCGCGTTCGATTTACGTTAAATCGAAATTTATTTTGCCGCGCGCGTTCCAAATGAAATTGAATGAATTAATGAATTGTATCGGAATCGAGAGAGAGAGAAAGAGAGAGAGAGAAACTAAAAAAGAGAAAGAGAGAAAAGACACGCGCACATGAGAGGATCCTGCTATAATAGATCAAATACCGTCTCGGTGATATATTTCTTATTCGAGCTACTTATAAAATTATATTTATCGGTATATATCTGTGATGTGTTTCTTTATTATCGTTGTTAATTAATCTCATAACGACGAAATATTATTTTTTTATCGGAATATTATGTACGATTCGACAATGTTATATTGTATTAAAATAATCTCTAGTCTTCCCATTTTATTTTCATTTACATGTTATATTTGAATCTATGATTTATGTGAAAAGAGTTTCGTATTTTGAACAAAACGCGTACTCTGATTGTGTTTACAAGATACCAACAATTCGTTATATTTTCTTCTCTCTAAAAATGAGAAAATTGATTCTCGTACTATCAATTGATCTATTACCTGCTTCTGTTTCATATCTGACACGCGCGTAAACATTTTATTCTGTTAAAAATTGTTAAAAGTCTTCAATACGTGAAATGTATAAAACATATGAAACAAAAAGCAAAAGATAAATATACGAGAAAATTCAGTAGTAAATTCGGTTTTAATAGAAAATATATCAGTTATATTATTTCAGAAAGAATCGTGTTTTGTTTAATTTTATTAAATCTTTTTTACTCTACTCTCTCTTGTCGCAATACTTTTTTATCTTTAATTTAACAAGAATATGTTCCGACATTACGGCTCTTTAGGATAGCTGCATTTCCCATCAATTAAACGTAATCCTTGCATCGTGCACGCTGCTGTAAACGGCAGTTGATCACGTAATTGGTCGTGCCTAACGTCCTTTTTTGCGCTCGTCGCTTAATCCGTGGAAATTGAACGTGGAAATTGCAGTCCCACCGCGATGAAATTAAGAGACACATGTCAACTAGACGAGTCGAGGCAGTGCAGGAGATTAATTGTCGTCTTTCACTAATGCGGAGATTAATCTAATACTATTGCTACAATGAAACACGACCGCGCAAATGTTTTAATTTTAATTGAAAAAAAATTTAATTTTATGTTTTTCACACATATTTTAATTTGTATATTTATAAATGTTTATATTTATTTCTAAGGTTTTCTTGGCCAACAAAAATTTACAAATTAAATCAAATATAGAAAGAGAATTAATAAACTAAACTTTTGATATTTTTTATGGTATATCGTAAATCCTTTGGGAAAAAATGTAATGAATGTGTGAGAAAGAGTTTGAAAAATTTAGGCACGCACGCGACAAAACTTTCTAGCAGTGATAGATGCGTTTTTAACATATTAGAGAAAAAAGACTCCGAAGTAGATGCATAATTCAAAAACTGTGTTAACTTGGCGCTTATGGTTTAGTCTAGTTTAATTATTAAAATATTTATTCACGCGTTCACATAATTTAAAATAATAAAATTATTATAACACATCAACGCGTTATTATAACTAATAATAAAATCGTATCTGCGCAGGAAATTTTTAAAGAGATACGATATATCTATATCTTTCGTATTATTATGTTTTAGAGAGTTAATTATTTAGTTTATGAAAACCTTTATGTCATTAGTTTATTTAACAAAGTTAAATAAATTTTAGAAATTTAATAATGAAGCACTCTCCTTGAAAAAAAAATATGGTTGGTAAGAGACACCTCAGGTATCATTTAAGGGACGTGTCTCTTATTTAAGACAAGAGTGACTTTATGCGCGGTCCGGGAATAGAGCCAGGCAAAATATATGTTCGCACGGGGACGAAAATTGTTTCATCTAGGGACGCACTTACATTCTCCTTGGAATCCACTAAACGCTGACCGTTTCTCCACCAGGTGATGCTGGCCGGTGGCCTGGAGCCGGAAGTTGTGCAGACCAAGTCATAGTTCTTACCCGCCGACAGCGGCTGGTTCGCACGAGCTATCTTCACTTCCAGAGGGTTGACTGAAAATTATTTAATTCACTAGTTGAATAATGTGCTTGATGCGTCTCCTCCTATCCTTTTACAAATGTAAAACATGCTCACAAAGGATATTAAAATATTTCATAAAATTGATATATTTTATGTTAAATCATTGTTATGTGTATAATAAAATAGTCTTTTGATTTCGCATTTCGTCGGACTTTATTAGAATGGTCTCTTTTCAATGGTCTCTTTTATTCAATTTAATGGACATTGTAAAATGTTTATATTAGCTTTATTTATTTTAAATTCCAAACGAGAAATATTTCAGGTAGCAATATATTATGAATTTCAGTTATATAAATATAGCTATATTATATTAAAATGAACAGGGGAATAATAAATTTGTCCAGACAGAAAATACTGGAGTATGCATAAGATACGCGCCGAATTTGAAAGTCTTCTCAGGTATTCTTACCTGCACATCCCTTTGCAGTCATATACTTGGTATGACGAATTTTAAGCGTGGAATCATAAACTCTCCCTCCCCTCATTAATCCTACCGCCCGCGCTCTCTTTTCCGCTCACTTACTACTTTATCACGCGCCATGTATCTTGCCGCGCGATAGCTCAAGTACTATAACAAAGTGAATAACTTAATTTAGAGCGGAGACAATTAATCTTGCGTCCCATCTTGCGCGCTCTTTTTCAGGATGATTCAAGTGTTTTTCAAGGTGACTTAGCAATGAGCGCGCGTTCGCGGATTCTTTCCAAACTTAAAAAATCACCATACAAATTCATATACCAAAATATATGAAGCTAAAGAATAATCAATAACGTTCATAATATACGATAAATATCTTTTTTTACCTGCAAAGTTTCTCTAAAGCAAATATTTATTATCACATGAGACTTTTTTGAGTTAAATAAGTTTTTCTCCAAATGCCTTTTTTCTGTCTTTCTTTCTTTTTCTTTTTTTCTCTCTCTCTCTCTCTCTCTTCCACATTTCAACAAAGTATCTTCAATTTACCGCTTCTACTTCTCGACTTCTGGATGTATCGGTTTAAAAATTTTGCGGTAATCCCGACGTCCAGCAAGACAAATTAAAAAAGGTCCGCAATTAATTAACCCCACTCGTTGTTCTAACGTCCCCGCGATAGCGGCGCGAGTAAAATTAACCGCCCGGCTGCCCTCGACTGCCGCTCGTTTCTTCGTTATAGCGGGTTGCTGGCCGCAAGACGCGTACCTTCCTGCACGCCAAATTGACATTGATAAATCCTCTTTGTTATAAAGCGATATATCATCGGCGCGTACTTCGCCGGTGCACGAGGAATTGAAGTTATTCGGAAAATTATCGTCAGTTTTACGTAAGATGTAGGTGTGTGAGGTGTGAGTGTATGTGTGTGAATAAATGTGTGTGGTTATGTGTGTCGATGAACACTCTATCGAAGCATCAACACTTCGCTTTCGATCCTGAATAGTTTTGGCATCGAAATTTCTGCTCAATATTATAGTCAGATCGATACCTTTAATATTTAATCCTCTTTCCTCATCTTTCCAGTTACTATTTAAAATTATTATAGTTTTACTATCCGTTGCATATCTCGTGGAATAAAAATATTAAATGTGTATGTATTTCAGAAATCTTTAGAAGTTTTAAAAGTTACGGCGATATTGGCTCCTGAGGATGGAGATATATCGAATGGAATGGATTATTCCTATCGCATTCGATATCGAATAAGCGCAAGTATCGGCAGAAGTTTAAGTTAAATATCCGTTACTCTATGTATTCACGCGCGAAACGTCGCGCTCCGTCCTCTGAATTTTCCAGTCGATGCGTGAAGAAACATTTTCACCCTGAGTGCGTTGAACCCGGGAGAAAATTGCGGATCCATTGCGTTGCACTTGGCTATACTCACGTAGGTTGCACGCGACGTGACTGAGAATTTATAGACGCGCGAGTAAGGCGATCGTCGATAACAGCACAAAGTGACCATGAACGATGGTTTTGCGAACGTCGTAAGCGCCGTGCAAATTGATAATGGTGAGTGTTGCTGGCTTACAAACCGTCGGTGGGAGAGGAGGAGGAGGAGGAGGAGGAGGAGAAAGCCTTAGTTATGGTATTTATAGGACCGCACACATACATTACGGAAGTTCGATAATTTACAGAGCGATATAGACGGCGATAAGCGTCGCAAGTTGTATGGACCAAAAATATCTGTACGGAAACTATCTATCTTCGTCGTTCTTTTCAAGCAATTTACGCGCATCCATTTACGGATCGCGGTAATTATTAGCGGGAATGACGTACCCGGACGTGACGTCAAACTGGGTGGTTTTGAATAATATCAATCGGAGTAACAGACGTGTATTCGCTCCGTAATGACAGTTATTAATTAAAAAGAGTGGTCTTGCATTTTTGCTCACCATTTCTCTTCTGCCCGATTCCGACTATCCGATATGATGAGTATAATAAAATTAATTAAAGCCGACTCCTATCTTTCTGCCCTCGGCGAAATCCTCGCCGATATTATTCTGCTATGCAGTTTTGCTTCCACTCAATAATTCAAGATCGATTACAAAATTATGGCGCGTGCATACGCTCCATATAACTCAATCGGTCGTAATTTCAGTTTTATCGTGAATTTATTGACGGATAAAGCGCACATCGTGGGATAAAACGAGGATTTTGCTGGTATTTTGGAAAATCGTATCTTATCGGTTTTCGAGAACTAGTATACTATTTCTCGCGCGATATAGCCAATATTCATATTTACAGATATAAGAACCAGAAATAATTTTCAACAAATAAAATAATATTCTGAAGGCTTCATGAAGCAGTCAAATTGGATCTAAAAATATGAGAGACAACGCATATCCCATTTTTCTCAAAATTGAATTATGCAGGTTATCGAAATCTTATCATATAGATTCAGCATTACAGACAGAAACGCAACCAGTCTCGATAACTTGTATGGAACTGGAAGACGCACAAATATTCCACTTCAAACAGAAAATCCCACACAACCATATCTCTTTTCTTCCTGAGAACTCTGGCTTATTGGATATATAGAGTTTCTAAACTTTTCGATTCAATCAAATAGTGATTTTTATCATAACTGAAGGATAAGAAAGATTGTATATATATTCAACACGCAGCGTAGCCCATATTTAGTCGCAGTTATTCTTTTAAAGTAATAAAACAGAAAAGGATTTATTCAAAAATCTCAATTAAATAAGTATTTAAATTTCATATTTTTATATAACTCGTGTATGTATGTGTAAGATTAACCTTTTATGGATGACAATATTTTGTTCATGTGAATAATTCCGTCGAACAAATGTGAGACCGTCCCCGTAATTTGGTCACCTTGAGAGAAAAAGAGAGAGAGAGAGAAAGAGAAAGAGAGAGAGAGAGAGAGAGAGAGAGAAACGACACCTTCATTCTAAGAGAAAGAAACTCGCTTAATTGTGCCGCGACCGTGCCTAGACAGCCTGATTGCCGGAGTAATATTTCAGGCATTCTAACCCGTCGCCACTGGCAATAAGGCCGCCTTGGCCCCGACATTGCCGCCACCGCCGCCGCCACCGCCGTCGCGGCTGCCGTTACCACCACCTTCCCCAATTTCCACCCCCTGAGTTACGGTTCGGGACTAATTTACATGACTTGCACCGAACTAATTCGAGCGGCGGTCGATAGCGCCGACTAAAGGGGTTAAAACGACGTTTACTTTATTACGTAATCACGGGGAAACCTAATATTGACAAAGGCGCGATGGGGTGGTTTGACGGCGGCGGCGGCGGTGCAGTGGTTCGAGGACGCCTTACCGATCTCGCTCGCTCCGCTTCAAAGAGCGTGGCTACCGTCCTCGTTGTGATGCCGCGAGTCTTTGCGCCGCAGTTTATTACTTACGATTTGCAATTCCATCGGTGTTTGAGTTTACGGATTGAGATTTATGGACTCACGCAATCGGGTGGAGCGAGACGAGACAAGGTGACTCGAGCGAGTCGGCTCGGGTCATACGCGCGTGCTGGCTACGTCAAGATACGAGGAGAGTCTCGTTTGCATCTTAATCAAACGACAGTTTCATTAGCGATAAGTCTCCGGTATTGCCGACTTAATTAATGCGAATATAATGTCATCGCGACGTTTAACCCTTTAAAATGTGACCTTACGTCATAGCGTCATCGTCTTTCCGATCATCCTCATGGGGTACATTCATTGGCCATCGGGATAATCCGCCTACACTTATCGACCACCATACCATATACATACTGTACACCGACAGGCAAGTTTACGAGCTCCTGATCGGATTAATCTTTGCCAATCTCCCGTTATTAAGTGGCATCGAGAAAATTAGGAAAATGATAGATTTATCTTCTTTAAATAGAATGATTGATCGATGTAACAGATTTCTCAAAATAATCTATAATCGTTATAATTGTGTTTTAATTTTTGATTTATTAAATTCTATTTTGATTTATTAAATTCCAATTTCTAAGTAATAGTCTTTATCTATGCTATCGGATACTATATAATAAAGAGAGAGTGCATTATTTAATTCGTACTTTATTTCAACTATCTTTCAAAAGCATATTCATATCAATATAACAAATTTAAAATAAGCAAAAGGCAAACGTTAGACGGCTCTCTCTAAATAGATCTTCATTTCCATAATTAATTTATATTAATTCTAATTATATTAAATTTACACCATAATAATTGTTTCAAAGCTTTGCTCTAAATTCAGCATACGTACATTACAAAGTCATATACATGAATATCTGTCTTCACAAAGGGGATACTGAAGTGTACGTGTCTTAAGCAGATTAACCTGCAGTACGAAATTGTGTGTACTTTCCCTCTCTCCGTATCTCACAATGTATTTTCGCTTATTCAATAATAATATTGATAATAATATTAACAAACAGATATATCGGCGGACAGGTGTGGATTCAGGGCAGCTTTATCCCCGATGTACACGCATACACAGGAGAGTTACAAATCATATCAACATGTTGGCGGATATTAGTGGATTTA